CCCTTCTGTGAGCAGCCCAATGCTTAATCCATGGTACCCCCAGCACTCCTTTAGAAACAACTAGGAAATGCTATATTAAGATCTAGTTCTGGTTGCGCTGTAGGATAAGTACTGAACTACAAACTTCAAAATCAGAAGTTCAAACCCAACAGCCTCTCTGCAGAAGAAAGATGAAGTGACAACAGAAAAAATTAGAGTTTTGGAAACCCTGTAATAGTGTTGCTATGAGTCCGTATTGACTCGATGGCAGTGAGTTTGGGTGGGTAGCTCACAGGAAATTCACAGCAATTTCAACAATTGATCCTATACTCCTACTTCCTTTTTAAAAAATTTAACCACACATGATACCTTCAACTTGCTTGAGCATCTTGCTTTATTTCCAGAAGGTTCCTTCGTAATTCCTTCCTAATTGCTACAGCATATATAATACTCCCAGTGAATCTTGATTCTTTCTAGCTGTGCTACAACTTTGTTCATCACTACCCTGGTTAAATCATTATCTGTTTGTCCTTCTCAGCTGTAATTTTGCCAAACTGTGCTATTTTATTTTTGCCTTAATGACTTGCCTACATCTCACTGAATGAGTTCTTTAGCAATAATTCAGACATTTTGTATTTGCGCTATCCCAATTTTCTCAACTCCATTAAAACAAACAAGCAAAAAACACAGGCTTTAGCTTGATTACAGCAAAAAAGCCCATCAATTAAGCCATAAACATATTATGATGAAATATTATTCTAGAAACATCTTATTGAAGTCTCTATACGCTCGTTATTTAGAGAAATTAATACAAAATAACTTCTTTAATAAGATAGCAATTTTGCCAAGTAAATACAACTCTTTAAGGGAAGTAATGCTTCTCTTACCTGGTGGCCACCATATCTGTGAGCCAATGGAATGGATCCAAATACTATCTTTTCACCACTTACAAACTGTATAAAATCATCTGTTTTTGAGACTGATAAATCAAGGTCCAAAATATCTTCGAGAACTTCCTGAGGCAGGGGGGGAAAAAAAGATCTTACAAACATAAGGATTTCTTTTCAAGCAAAGAGAATTAACCAGAGAAATGAAAAGATTAAACCTCTTCCAAAACTGTATTATTCACATTTTTTCATAAGAGATACATACCATACTTTCTTGCATTATTGATTGTTTGGAAAAATATTTCTATTAGATGGTTCTAAATTTTTACAGCTTTCTTGTAGCTCAGGGTAAATAATATTTTTCTGAACACATTATTTTTTAAAGAAATTTTAAAAAGGAAAGGAAACTGTCATATTTTTACCTGAAAATAATTTGTATCATGAGAGAGCAGAATTTGTTAGAAGAAACCATGTCTAGAAGTTATCCAAGATGAAAATTTAGTTCATTTCTAACCTTTTTTTCACAGAAGTGTATTTTCCTCATAACGTATTGAGTACTATGCTCCAGGTATATGTATCAGAAAATTATTTGTAGAAATGACATTTTCTAGGAATCTGAATCTTGTATACACATCATGTAACAATAGACCGACAACATTAACTGAAAAACATTTTACACAAATGACAAAGTAAATAATTTAGTAACTGTACTGTGAAGAAATGAAGTCTAACCTTTGAAACTGCCACGAGATGTGTCCTTGATTTGAAAGGCGTAGGGAAGGCAATTGAAAAAATACAGTTTTTCACTTTACGAACATAATTTTCTTTAACAGGATCAACTGGCAACACAGCTGATAAAAACAAACAAACAAGCATATATTTAAAGTTCTCATTTACTGCATACATAGCATTGTTGTTGTTGTTAATGCCTTCAAGTCGGTTCCTACTCACAGTAACCCTGTATAGGGTTTCCGAAGAGTGGTTGGTGAGTTTGAACCGCCAACCTTGCAGTCCAAACCAACCTTGAGATCAAGTACTTATCTTACAGTGCCACACCGGGAGTCCATACATAACAGTGGTGGTGGTGGGGTGTGCCATGGAGTCAGTTCTTACTCATAGTGACCCTGTATAGGGTTTCCAAAGCTGTAAATCTTTACAGGAGTAGAAAGCCTCACCTTTCTCCGATGGAACGGCTGGTAAATTCGAACTGGTGACCTTGAGGTTAGCAGCCCGACATAACCACTACGCTACCAGAGCTCCTTATACATAGCATTAGTATTCTTTAAAAAGATAATAGTTTTTCAAGGAAAGAAATTTAAACCTCTAATTCTTTTATATGTTCTTTAAAGACTAATAATCTGTAACAATATCTAGTCAACATTCATATAATACGGCATAAGAGGGCTAGAAATGGAAGAAACATAAAACAATAAGCTACATACCCTGTCAAAGATTTTTCACTCCCAGGAGACAAACAGAATGTATAACATATTACTACATTTTAAAAACAAAAGACTCACAAAAATTCTACTGCCATTCTGACTTTTAGTGACCCTCCAGGACAAATAGAATTGCTCCCAAGGGTTTCCAAGTCTGTAACTCTTTGTGAAAGCAGGCTTTCTCCCGATGAGCAGCTGGTGGGTTTCAACTTCCAACTTGCAGTTAGCAATCCAATGCTTAGCCCATTGTGCCACTAGGGCTCCTCATTAATTAATAAAGACATAAAAATAACATGAAAGTATTCGAATTATGTTGTTACATTAAAGTATTAGAATTATGTTGTTGTTGTTAAGTGCCACCGAGTCGATTCCAACCCATAGCGACCCTGTATAGGGTTTCCGAGGAGCTGCTGGTTAGCTTGAAATGGCTGACCTTGCAGTTCAAATGGCTTTGCAGTCCGTTGCATTAACCCACAGCGCCAGTCACACCAGGACTCCTATTGTTTGGAATGATTCCTATTTATTCACCACTCAAGTCTAAGTAAGCTAAAAGTGGGCTATAATACCAACAAGAGCTATTTTGTATCCTCCTTAGGAAATGGCAATGGTTAAAGTGCTCGGTTGCTAACCAGAAGTTCGATGGTTGGAATCCCCCAACCACTCCGAGGGAGATAGCAAGCAGTCTAGTTCTGTGAAGCATATAGTCTTGGAATCCCTTTGGGGCACTTCTCCTGTCCAATGAGTCAAAACCAATTTGATGACAGTGGGGTTTTGTTGCGGATTAATGCACTAGACGGTGACGTCCATTTGAACTACAAGTTCGGTGATTCAAGCTCACCAGCCGCTCCTCGGAAACCCTATACAAGGTGGCTATGAGTCAGAACCAACTTGACGGCACTTATCAACAACATGAGTAATAAAAACAGGCAAATGTGGGCCAGAATTAACCCTTAATTCTGGTGTGGTGCTGTAGGGTAAAGCAGGACTGTAAAGTCGGCTTGAACCACAAGGTTGGCGGTACAAATTCATCAGTCTCTCCTTGGAAGCCCTATACAGGGTCGCTATGAGTTGAAACCAACTTAACAGTCTTAACAACAACAACACTTTTAGTTAAATACACGGTAAAAAAAAAAAAAAAAAAAAAAAAAGCAGTATAATGGGTGATGGAATGGGTTAGCAACCAAAAAACAAATGATTTCAGTATTCACCACAGAAAACCTGGCAGTATGATTAGCAGAATCACATCCAAGGGCATATTTTCTTCCACAAGAGAGCCTCTCTGTAAAGATGGACAAATTATGTAATCAAGACACTGTCCTTAATTATGCTATAACATTTTGATAGGGCACGGACAGTACATTTTGTTCCATTCATAGTTACGATTTTGTACTGATTGATTCATATCTGAAAAAGTAGCTAATCAGTTAATATCTGCCATCATTGGCCATGGACCAAAAAAATCTACCTCTTCAAAGGTATGCAACACTCACCCTTATTACGATTTAATAATCAGTCAGAGTAAAAAACCCAGAGAAAATGCTAAAAACATTAACCCTTTATCAGTAATTCAGAAATCAGTAATCCAAAAATCAGTTCTTCAAAATTCACAATTTTGCATAATATGAAATCCCTTAAAACTGCTAACCTTTCAGTGTAACTATGTTTGAATCTCTTGTTTTTATTACTGTTGCCTTGAAAATTCGTTGATTGTTAATCTAACAACATCAGGATGGGATGTTTCACGAAGTCTGTTAACCAAGACATGAAAATATCTTATGATATTTATCAATCTCTTCTTAGCTGTAAAACATGCTACTGTAGAGTATGTTTTGAACCATACATTTCTATGGCAAGAAAATGTCTTAAAGTATAGTCAATCTTCCAACAGTGAAATGGCAAAATTCAAAATGCTTTCAATTACATACTTACTCCATTTGTATCACAAAGTACAGTGGTTTGAATTCATCTGTGATTCTGCGGGAGAGTTAAAAACTGGCAATGTGTTTGTAAAGACTAACCCAACCCAACCCAACCCAACCCAACCCAACCCCTGTTGTCCTGTTGATTCCAACTCACGGTGACCCTTTAACGGGTTTCCAAGATTAAATCTTTACAGGAGCATACAGTCTCATCTTTCTCGAGTTACTGGTGGATTTGAACTATCAGCCTTGCAGTTAATTCTACAGTGCCACCAGGGTTCCTTCCATAAAGATTATAATCTAGGAAGATCTATGGGGCAGTACTACCCTGTCTTATAGGGTCATTATAAGTCAGAATTGATTGGATAGTACACAACTGGTTGTTTCATTTGTATAAGTGCAATTTTTAAAAAGGCCCAAAGTCATTTCTAGACTGCACAACAGGAGTCTGTTCTTTGGTAGCTGCACAGCTTGGACAATGTTTTTAACTTCCTACACTCACTCTAAGGAGCTCTGGTAGTGTCGTGGTTACCAATCAAATCGGGCTGCTAATCTCAAGGTCAGCAGTTCAAAACTACCAGCTGTTCTGCGGGAGAAAGATGAGGCTTTCTGCTCCTGTAAAGATTTACAGCCTCAGAAACCCTGTGCAGGGTGGCTACGAGTCGGAACTGACTCCACAGCACATAACAACAACAACACTCATTTTAGGTGCCCTGGTGGTGCCGTGGGTTATGCATTGGACTGAGAACCAAAAAGCGGGCAGTTCAAACCCACCAGCTACTCCGCAAAAAGATGACGCAGTCTGCTTCCATAAAGATTTACAGACTCCGAAACCCAGTTCTACTCTTTCCTATAGCATTCTATAGGGTCACTGTGAGTCGGAATTGACTCCATGGCAGTGGCTTTGGGTTTTTAGGGCAAAAATGAGTCTAAATCAAGAAAACCCATAACCACTGCCACAGAATAGACAGAGTAGAACTGTCCCATGGGGTTTCCCGGGCTATACATTTTTAAGGAAACAGATTGCCACATAACAACCTTTACTTGTATCACTTCACATATTATTAAGTAATAGAGTTCTGGTGTGGCACTATAGGATAAGCACTTGACCATAGGTCAATTTCAATCACAAGGTCGGCAGTTCAAACTCACCAGCCACTCCTCAAAAAACGCTGTTGTTGTTAAGTGCCATGAACTCAGCTCCTACCACCCAGGGTGTGCTAGGGGCAACTGGTGAGCTTGAACCACCAACCTTGCGGTTCAAATTAACTTTGCAGTTCAGTGCATTAACCCACAGATCTACACCAGGACTCCAAAAACCCTATACATGGTCTCTCTATAAGTCAGAACCGGCACTTTACAACAATAGGGCTACTCTCATGCAAAAACTGTTCAAGAAGCACACACAAAAAAGTATGTCTCACAGACAACTGCAGTTGTTACCTATTTGTTCATAGGAGTCCTGGTCTGCTGCTGTTGGATAAGCAATGGACTACAAGGTCAATTTGAACCACAAGGTCTATGGTTCAAACTCACCAGCCACTCCTCAGAAACTCTATACAGGGTACCTATGAGTCGAGATTGACTCCCAGGCACTGAACAACAGTAGCAACACTTGCTGATACATCTCTTCTATTAGAGTGACTTTCTAAAGAACGTTTTTAAGTCTCTTAGTTCTGTATCTTAATGTTTACACTCTCTCTCACAGGCTGTGTGTTGAATGCTTAAATATGTCACACATTTCTGTTATAAACACAATCTCTCATAAGATCTGTCAGTCCTAAATCAAAACCCAAACCAAACCCACTGCCATAGCCTACAACTATAGGGCTTCCAAGACTAAATTTTTATGGGAACGGGTTTGAACCGCGGAGCTTGTGCCAAAAGCTTATCACACAGAGCCACCAGGGCTGCTTAGATCTGTTATTAGAGCTATTCCTATAGGTTAAGCGTAGGGTTTCGTGGAGAGGCTGGTGGAGTTGAACTGCCAACCTTTCGGTTAGCAGTCCTGTGCTTATCCTAGGACTGGACTCCCTACCTATTTCCACAACAGGATTCCCTACCAATTTCTGTACATTCTCCAGTAGGTTCAGCATTGCCAAATATTAAAAATTTCACACAGCGCATATTCCCGATAGTGGGACTCACATAAGCATATGTGAACAAGATTGTCAATCACACAATATACCTATTAGATTTTCAGAGGAGAGAGTCCAAAAGTCGAAAGATGAGGCTAACTTGAATTCTTTTTCACAGTAGCTCTGATCCTGGTTTGACTTGTTGTAAGAAAGATGTATAAAGTTGGTACTTCCTTCAAGGACAGATTGCAACAGGCAGCAGATGGTGGCGTGGTCGGTCACACCCAAGATAAACAGACTAAGAAACCGTAGCCTCCATATTAAGCAGCTGCAGATCGGAAATTCGATTCTTTGAGTCATGTTTCTGCCTAAATACGCAAAGTGAGAGTCAGTGGTTGGAAGTCTGGGGCTCTGATATTTCTTGCTTACAGTCGCTCTCCAAAAGGCGCATTTTCACAATTACTGCTTAATTTTATGGGGTAAGGGGCAGGGAGAGGCTCGGGGGTCACTCTGGGCTTCTGCTGGTTCAGATCGGCCGGCCAGGAGAAATGGGCCCAGCCGCTGCCGCCAGCTCCCGGAACCGCCTGGGTGTCCCGCCGACGCCGCTGGCTTCCGGGCCCAGAAGGTGCCCGACGTTGCGTCTGGCCTGTGGGCAAGCTCCCGGGAGGAGCGCGAAAAGGAGGTCCCGGGTCGGGTGTGGCCGAAGCTCTTCCTGTGCCAGGTTTCCGGCTCCGGGTCCCGGGAGGAGGACCGACGGGGCCATAGGCGGAGCCGCCGCCGCTACCGCGACTTTCAGACTCGAACCATGGCTTCGTGCTGGTGGCGGTGGCGGCGCTGCTGCTCATGGAGGTCAGCTGCGCGGAGCCCTGGGCCCGGCTCCCCAGGCCATGCGAGGTCGACCCGGACGTACCCCTCTGCGGGTACCCGCTTGCAGGTGAGGCGAGGAAGCACGCGCCGAGGCCGGGGCGCAGAGGTCATGGAGCCAATGACAGCGGTGCAGCGGAATGAATGGGAGCTAGCGAGCATGTGCACTTGGAGCCAGCTCGTCCCTGGCCGAGTGGGGGGTACCGGGCCTGTGAGTCGAAGACCACGGGGTTGACTTGGGGTGAACCGTGCAGCGGGACGGGATGGGACCGCGGCCAAGCGTTTGCTTGAGATTGAGGCGCCTCACCTACAATCATTAGAAGTACAAATCCGTGCCCTGGGGAAAGAGGAAGCGATAAGGATCAAAGTTCCATAGGAGTAGTCAGATTGTCTCCTTGGAGTTTGGACGAGGTAAAGCTTGGGAATCGTCAGTTACTGCAGGCTTCAGAGGACACAATTTACGGAGCATTACAGAAAAAGGTGCTCTAAGAGTTCAAAATTAGGGAGGATCAAATTAACCTCAGGGTAGTCAAAAAAGGTCTAATGTAGACTGCAGGACCTATGTTAAGGGTGTTTGCTGTTATTCGAACAGTACTTGCTTAGGAGGAGGGAGAACACACCTGGATGGGGTGGAAGGTCAGTAGAAGGAGAAAAAGTGTGAAACTTGACTGTTGTGTGCCATCCAGTGGATTGCAATTCATAGCAACCCTGTATAGGGTTTCCAAAGAGCGGCTGGTGGGTTTGAACCGCCGACCTTATGTTTAGCAGTCCAATGCTTATCCTACAGCACCAATGACAGTCATCTTTAATTTGACCAAAGTCAAATCAGAATCTTTGCAATAACCTTTCACACCTTAGGGCTTTCTCTTTTGCTTTCCACAGTTTGGACTTACCTCATTTTTCTCCCTTTCAGCCCATTTAGCACCTGTAAATTGTAGTTTGTTGTTAAGTGCCAACAAGATGATTCCAATTCATAGCTACCCTGTATAGTATTTCTAAGGCGTGGCTGGTGGATTTTAACCGCATACATTGTTTTTAGCTGTCTGGTACTTATGCTACACATTAGCGTAGTGGTTACGAATCCGGCTGCGAACCTCAAGGTCAGCAGTTTGAAACTACCAGCTGTTCCACGGGAGAAAAATGAGGCTCTGCTCCCGTAAAGATTTACAGCCTCAGAAACCCTGTACAGGGTCACTATGAGTCGGAACCGACTCCACGGCACAGTGTCGCCACCACCACCATCACAGTTTATAGTTAAGGAGCTCTGGTAGCGTCGTGGTTACAAATCGGGCTGCTAACCTAAAGGTCGGCAATTCAAAACTACCAGCCGTTCTGCAGGAGAAAGATGAGGCTTTTTACTCCAGTGAAGATTTACAGCCTCAGAAACCCTGTGCAGGGTCGCTATGAATCGAAATCAACTCCACAGCACACCACCACCACAGTTTATAGTTGGAGCCCCGGTGTGGTGCTGTAGGATAAGTACTGGACTGAGAACCGCAAGATTGGCAGTTCAAACCCACCAACCACTCCTTCTGGAACTGATCCAATCAATGGCACTTAACAAAAACAGTTTATAGTGATTAATTCTCACTGTGCCCTGAAGTAGATCCATTTTGTTAAGCATGACTGCACAAAATCTGTTTACCCGGGGAGTTCCTTGGAGACTTCCTCAGTCACATGGTAGTTGTATTATTGTTGGGCTTACATCTGAAAAGCCCCTACCACATCACCCAAACCCCTTGCACACCTTTCTTGTGTGTGGTTTATTTGAATTTAGGACTTTGATTTCAGTCAAATTTGGTACATTTTCATGTACCTGCCAAACACCATTAACCAATATGAAATTATAGTATTTTATCACATATACGAGGGTGAGTCAAAAAGTATTGCTACAAAATCATAGAACCCTTTATTAAACAATGAAATATAAAAATGTGAAGGTTTTTCTCTTGACATATCTTCCATCTAGGTCTTTATACTTCTGAAGGCGGTGTTTCCATCTCTCTAACTCTGAATTCTGTGCTCTTCAATTTACACCATGGCAAAACTGTACTCTGGGCATCCACAAGGGACTCAAGTCCTACTCCTTTTAAATGTACTTGTTAAGAACAAAGAAGTCTGAATGGGCCAGATCAGGGCTGTACGGTACTTGGAGTAAGGTTTCCCACCGAAATTCTCTTAGGACAGCCCTTGCTACTCACAAAGAAGGAGCAATTACATTGTCAGGATAGAAAAAATTTTCTCAGCACAACTTCCCTGACCTTTACTCAGAATGCATAGACTTCTGGTGTGGTGCTATAGGATAAGCACTGGACTACAAACCGCAGGGTCAGCAAGTCAAACCCACCAGCTAGCTGCTCCTCAGAAACCCTGTATAGGGTCACTATGATTTGGAATCGATTCATTGGCACTTAACAACTCACTAATATAGTTTTCAATTTTCTTAAAACTTCTTCCTAATAAGCCCCTATGATGGTTCTGTCCTTTAAGAAAGTCTGTCACGAGTACCCTTTGGGAATCTCAAAAAGCAGACATCATAACCTTCAGAGCTGACCTCTCATGTTTGAGATCTTCCAGACCTTCCTTGAACACTTGACCCATCTAAAAACTACTTTTTTTTTTTTTTTTTTAAATATGGGGCAACATATCTGCAAACTTGTTGCAAAGCCTCAATGATTTGGGAAGATGACCATTTGATGTTAGCCCTGACAACAGATTCGGTTTTTTTCCATGGCACATAAAGTATCCTTTTTTTTTGAAGGCACCTGTAGAAGACTAAGACAAGTATATTACTGAGAGAACTTGTCTGCAGCCATCCAGTGATTGCAGAGACATACTTAACGTGTTTTGTTTGAAATAAATCTGTGGGTGTGTGAAGTGGAACCCTAGCAGCAATACTTTTTTACTTACCATTGTATAAATGTCAGCATTGTACTAAAGTTTATGCATGTTGTCCAAAATAGACTTATGAAGAGAGAATGGTACCTGGCTGGCTAGAATATGCAACATTCCTAAAGAAAGGATATAGAGATGGGTGGAAAAGTGTGGCAAAAGGCAGGCTTTTCTGGGGTCCTAGAGGAAATGGGAGCATCCACCAGCTGATCCAGCAGACGCTTTCCTCTGATTCCATGCACACCAAGCATCTTTCTCAGACACAAGAATATACTTGTTGGCTCCCAGGTCAGCCTGGCTGACCTCAGTGAGGGACTGTTCCTGAAAACACCAGCGTAATGTATTTCTAATTTATGTGTCGTTGACATTTTTCTTTATAAATTAATACAGTTAGCATTTGCGTCTGGCACGTTGTATTTTGGTTACTTGGGGTCTCTAAGGGCCTGACAATCCTTAGGGATGAAGAACAATAAAAAAGCCAACTCTGGCTTTCCAACTCAGCTCTACTACTTCTGTTTGTACTGATGTTTATACATTTTTCTGACTTCTCATTAATAGTGTAACAAATCTTGTAACAGGACAAAAACCAGTTTGTATCTAATCATGACAAATCACTTGTCAATACTACACTTTAAAAAAAAAAAATGTTTTATTGTGAATTATATGATAGTTTACATGAGAGAACTTTATTTTTACATTCATTCCATCGTATATTGTTTCATTGCCATGGTTCCAATCCCCTCCATGCATCATCAACCAACCAAAGGGTATACCATACAAACCCGCCCCCTATACTCCGCCCCCCAGTCTTCAGCACTCAGTCCCTCTCCCTCTCTGGATCCAGAGTCCCCAGCTGCTTCATCATTCCACGTCATCATCTCTGCCTCCATCTCAGGCATCGCTGCTTCTCTGGGTAGGGTCCCGCTCTTGGCTCTTCTCTGTTGATGGTCCTAGAGACCTCCACTCCTAGACTGGAGAATTAATCACTCCCTTCCTTGCTACAAAACATCTACCTTTACATTTCTAACCCTCGCAATCGGACCTGATAACAGTTATTCACTATAGTATCACAAGTGACCCATCTGCATATCATTTCATCAGCTCCGCCTAGACAGATTGGATAGTACTCACTGGAGATTCTGCCTTCCTCCATGTCCCTTACCTCTTGAAAGCTTGCAAGCCAGTCACTTCTTGCCTTTGTAGTCCCCCCCACCCATTTGGGTATTAAATGTCCAAGTTGCCCATCTCTGTCTACTCTGTGTGTGGAGGGGGTGGTAATATTTCTTGCTGTAAGGATTTGTTCCCTCTTTTGAGTCACTGCATCCGTAGGTGTAGGTCAATACTGCACTTTTGATTCATACTCAGTATTGTCTCCTATTTAAAAAAAGTAGACCCAGGGGAGGCAAGGTGGACTCTCTTGGAGAGTATGTGATGGGGAGGTAAAAGATTGTTGCTTGGAAAAATGACTGTTGCTTATAATAGTGACACACCCAAGTGTTACAGCTCCATTTTCCACAACTCCCTTTTAATACTTTATTGTTCTCCTAAGTGCCATTAATCCCACTTTAGAAAACATTGTGTAAGTCATTCTTGAAGCAGAAAAGAACTTATTCAATAGGTATTGTATTAAATATATATTGTGTACATGGAACAAGGGATAGGATTGCTGACATCAGATGGATCTTGGCTGAAAGCAGAGAATAGCAGAAAGATGTTCACCTGTGCTTTATTGACTACGCAAAGGCTTTCGATTGTGTGGATCATGACAAGCTATGGACAACATTGGAAATAATGAGAATTCCAGAACACTTATTGTGTTATGAGGAACCTGTACACAGACCACAAGGCAGTTGTTTGAACAGAACAAGGGAACACCTAATCGCTTAAAATTAGGAAAGGTGTGTGCCAGAGTTGTATTTTTTCACCATACTTACTCAATCTGTGTGCTGAGCAAATAATCCAAGAAGCTGGATTATATGAAGAAAAATGTGTCATCAGAATTGGAGGAAGATTCATTAACAACCTTTGCGATGCAGATGATACAACCTTGCTGGATGAAAGTAAAGAGGACTTAAAATACTTACTGATGAGGGTCAAAGACTACAACCTTTGGTATGGGTTGAATCTCATTGTAAAGAAAACAGAAATCCTGACCACTGGACCACTAAGAACATCCATATAAATGGAGAAAAGATTGAAGTTGTTTCGTTTTGCTCGGATCAACCATCAACACTCATAGAAGCAGCAGTCAAGAAATCAAACAATGCATTACATTAGGCAAATCTGCTGCACAAGACCTCTTTAAAGTGTTAAGAGCAAAGATATCAGTTTGAGGACTAAGGTGCGCCTGACCCAAGCCATGGTATTTTCAATAACCTTATAGGCATGTGAAAGTTGGACAATGAATAGGAAGACCATAGAAGAATTCATGCATCTGAGTTACAGTGTTGGAGGGGAATATTAACAGTACCATGGAACTGCCAAAAGAACAAACCAATCTGTTGGAAGAAGTCCAGCCAGAATGCTCCTTGGAAGCTAGAATAACCAAACTTCAGTTCTTATACTTCAGACACATTATCAGGAGGGACCAGTCACTGGAGAAGGATATCATGTTTGGTAAAGTGGAGGGTCAGCGAAAAAGAGGAAGACCCCCAACGAGATGGATTGGCACAGTTGTGGCAGCAATGGACTGAGGTAGCAACGATTGTGAGGTTGGCCCTGGACTGGGCAGTGTTTCGTCCCGACTCAGTCGCACCTAACAACAACAACATGGCTCTGAGCTAAGAACTTTACTTTTGCTTTAAATTAAGTTCAGCATTTCCCCATCAAAAAGATATCACAAGGAAACACAATTAGCAAAGATTGGGATTTGGAATTTGAACCAAAGTCTGTCTTCCTAACACCCTACTTTTAACTACTATACTGCCTAGTGGTTAAGAGCACTCTGTTAACTATGTAATTTTAACCCTTCTCCCCAGGTTAGAAGAATAGGAGTATGTGTCAAACTGAGTAGTTGACATTCCTCCATTATCGTGTCCTATTTGTAAGCAGTAGTCGCAACTGACTCCACAACACTTCACATTTACCACCACGTAATGAAATATCGAATTCACGTGAATAATTGTAGATTAAGTGTCATATACAAGGATAAGTCAAAATGTATTGCTACTAGGCTTCCAGTTCAAACATCCACTGAGCTTATTTCAGAGTGTGTTTAACAAAATAGGGAGTCCCTATATGTCTCTGTAATCAGTGGATGGCTGCAGACAAATTCTCTCAGTAATACATACTTGTTGTCTTGATCTCATTAGGTAGGGTACCTTCTTCACCAAAAGAAGGTCCAGTCAAAACAGTGGTTTCCAAGGGCATCTGCTGGGCCAGTTCAGTTCAGGACAGATCAGTAATCAAAAAGGAGTGATTATTATAGATTTTATTGAAGGACACAGGATGATCATGGGGCTTGTTATGAAAAAGTTTTTAAAAAGGAAAACTGTACTGGTGAGAAAAAGACCAGAAAAGTTGTTGTGAGTAATTTTTTTGTCCCCATCACATTAATGCACCTGCTTATTCTTCAAGGTGCATTGTTCTGATGAGAAAAAAAATTTCAAGGTCTGTCCTATGAGAATTTCATTGGGAAACCTTACCCTTAGACTTGATCTTGCTCCTTCAACCTTCTTTTTGTTCCCGAAACTCAAAGAACATTTCAGAAGAACATGATTTGGTCCTTTAAGGATGCCAAAGCCACGATTTTGACTTTGTGTAAATGGAAATGGTGAGAGAGACGGAAACACCACCTTCAGACATATATAAACCTAGATGGAGGAGATGTCAAGAAACAGTAGTTTCACATTTTGATGTTTTTGTTTAATGAAGGTTTCTGTGATTTTGTAACACTACTTTCATAATTATGAAATCAAAAAGGAAGATTGTTACTTTGTTTTTTGGGTTTTTGTTGCTGTGGAGTCAATTCCATCTCATGACAACCCAATATGTGCAAAGTAGAACTACCCCATTGGTTGGTTGGTTTTAAGTTATTGTGATTTGAGTGAAAGATTACAGGGTAGACCATCAGTTTTAAATTCAGCAAATCATATACTTTGTTTCATTACAATGATTATAATCCCCTCCATGTACCATCAGTTAACAATATTTCTCTCTATTCATTTTAGCTCTTTTTTTTTTTTTTTTTTTAAACACTCAGGCATGTACAATCATTTAAACCACCAAAGGGTACATTCTGCAAGCCTGCCTCCTGGCCGCCAGCTCTCAATCCCTCTTTTTCCATGAATCTAGAGTCCTCAGCTGCTCCTGCTCTCCATGTCCCCATCTTTGCCTCCGTCTCTGGTATCACTGCTTCTTTGGATAAGGTCCTGCATTCTGCTTATGCTTTTCTCCCTTGATGATCCTAGGGTCCTCTGTTTCTGGACTGTAAGATTAACTACTCCCCCGTTTTGTTGTTTTTCAAAAATGTTTTATTGTGAATTTTGTGATAGTTTGCATGGGAGAACATTAGCTTTACATTCATCCTATTGTATATTGTTTCATTGCTGTGGTTACAGCCCCCTCCATGCATCATCAGACAACCAAAGGCAAGCCTGCCCCTCTGTCATCAGCACACAGACCCTCTCCCTTTCTGGGTCTAGAGTCCCCAGCCACTCCATCTCTCCACATCATCATCTCTGCCTCCATTTCTGACATCACTGTTTCTCTGGGTAGGGTCCCTCACTCCGCTCTTCTCCCTTGATAGTCCCTGGGACTCCCCTGTTTTTGTTACAAAACTTCTACCTTTACGATTATGACAGTTGCAATTTATCATGATAACAATTACTCACTATTGAATCATAAGACTCTTATCCCCATTTCTTTCACCAGACCCGTCCAGACAAGATGAAAACTTTTTAGTAGGGATTCTGTCTTTCTCCACACACTCTGAAACTAAACTCCCTCTTGAAAACTTGTAAGCCAGTCACTTCATGCCTTTATCGTCCCCTCATTTTAGGTAGCCAATGTCTAAGTTGCCATTCCCTATCTGTTCTCTATACAGAGGTGATAGCATTGATACTTGACGTGAAGACTCCTTCCTTCTCTATTGATATTTTGAGCTACTACATCCATCAAATTGTAGCAATTTACCCTTGTTCTCCTTTATCAAAAAAAAATTTTTTTTTATCGTCCTCTCATCAAGTTTTGATTCTCAAACCATCGAGGCTAGGTCAAATGGGTACTATCTATAAGTTTGGCTGTTCTTTTGTGTCTCCCCTCACTTCATATCAGCTGGATGCTTCACTCTCAGCTCTAGCCCTTTGT